ACTTGATGTTCCTTGCGCGCACCTGCACAGTACAATAAAAAAACAACAACAGGAGAATTAGTACGGGGGCATGGCAGGCCCAGGGCGCTGCCCGGTCCCATGACCCATGCCGCCAAATCACTACCGGTTCAGCCAAACTGGTCCAAACTGAGTTAAAAACTGGGAGGAAACTCTTACTTGTGGAATCTTGTAAATGGACAGGATGGCTGCCATATGGATACAGACTTCAGAATTCGGTCCTCCCATGACTGACACTAGATTGTTCTCTGTTTCACACTTGTAGTTAGGGATTAATTTGCCTTGTGTTGAGAATACTTCCATTGAGGCATGATACGTCCCACTTGCAATAAAGTTGCTGTTATAGATATGGGAGCCCAGAGTGAGGTTGGGCAAAATCTGGGGATTTTCATTGATCTCCTTTATAGCAAATGCCAAAGACAAAATGTGTTGGTAGAGCTGAGTCACTACACTGAAATGAAAATTACACATCAATTTGAACTCATTGGTTTCAGCACAAGAGCTGCTGGACTTTTGTTCAATTCGTAGCTTTAAATATATAAAATAAATATATTGTACTCAAAGCTTCCATCAGATGATTACTAATGAAGACTATTAAATAAAATATATCTATTTCAGTCTTCATCACATAGTGATGGTACTACTTTAAAAGATAATGTTTAATATTGTGTTGCCCATAAAATAAGACACAGTCTTTTCTTTTGACCCCTGAAATAAGTGCTTGGTCTTTTTTTCAGGGTGGTCTTATTTTTGAGATGCAGGAGATGGTGAGCATGGTCACCTCATGGCTGCTGCTGTGCTACAATATTTTAAAGGAGGGATTTTTTTGGGGGTGGCTTATTTTGGGGATAAGAGGATATTAGAAAATATCCAAGAATATCCAAGAATTCAAGTGTACAACTAATTCTATACACTATTCAATAGCAATCATATTATTGTCTTTATGCCTCATAGTATGATTATACCTTCATTCTACAGCACCATTCTGCATGTGTAGAGAAAAATCAGTTATAAATTCAGGGGTCACCTCCATGAAATTGTTCTCTCCCACACACCATAATTTAGTTCATTGATTAAAATTTAATATCATAATTCTCAAGATTGTATCTAAACATTTTTTTTCCTGTCCACAGAAGTCTTGCAAGACTGAAATACAGTAACTAAGCATTATGTTTTTGTGACTAATTGGATTTCAGGGAAATTATTGACAATCAGTTCAATTGTTGATTTCATTTTAGAAACAGTGAAAATCACAACTTTAAGTCTGTGTATGAATGACAAAATAACTTTAAGAAAATGGGAAAATTGTTATTGTCACAAATATACAGGTATTTCATTACTCAGAACAAATTTATTTAGCTGTGCAGCTGAATTACTTTTTCTTTTTTAGGAATAGGGAAATCTTAAAATAAAACAGAATACTTCATTAGTAAAAAAAATGATGTCAGAAATATTTTAATAAAAAAAAACCTAGGAAATGAATTTATGACTATCCTTTGTGGAAATTTAATTTAAAAATAAATATTGGATTAACCTCATTCTCAGGCAGAAAGCTTGGAATATAATAAAAAGTGTTTTATTAGATTCCAAAAACTTTATTAGATTGCTCCAAAGTAATTCACACTTAATCAGAAAAATAGGTACAAATAAGACATTAAACCTGTTCCATAGAATTAACTGAGAATTTCTGCTGCCAAAATCATCAAGTCAGAATCATGAACTCATCCTTATGAATGAAACTAAGTAAAATTGTTTATTCCCTGTGCATTATTAATAGAACAGAACAGAATGGACCTTGACATCCAAGACAATACAGACCCAGCACCAAACATCAAACTCATTTCTGAATAATTAGTTTTAGATACGTGAGCTTCTTACTCAGTATCATAGAAAAGATCAGTAGAAGGCTTTTCATGAAAATGTATTGTGTTTGAAAATATATAGATTTGAGACAAAATACCAGCAACAATGACATCTCCTGATTGATAGTATTTATGAAGAATTGGAACAGGATCACCAACAATGCAATTCATGTTAGGAATCTCTGAAACTGCCCTAAACAACAGCATTAAGAGCCATAGAGAGAGTTTCATTAATTTGCATGATAGAATTTCTACTTTGCAGTCTTTCATTTGTTGTATTTTTTTCTTGTAATAGATTTTTGGCTGAATAGCACAGCCTAACTTGAATGACCACTTGCTTGGTTTACAGCACCAACCAAGAGCACTAAGAACAAAACCANGTGCTGCAGTTGTATCTATATTCTACAGCACGTTTCTGCAAGTATGAAACTGCAACAGCAGTTTATCCTAGCTACAGAAGTCTTGCAAAATTTGAAATAGCAATAGCACAGACATATACTGCTTCACGGTGCTTTACAGCCCTCTCTAAGTGGCTTACAGAGTCAGCATATTGCCCCCCAAAACCCTTATTTTACTAACCTTGGAAGGATTTTAACCACTGTGGGATCACAGTTATTATATGATAGATAGATGATAGACAGACAGACAGACAGACAGACAGATAGATGGATGGATGGATGGGAGGGAGAGAGAGAGAGGTAGACAAACAGACAAACAGACACAGATAGATGGTAGATATAGATAGATGGATGGATGGATGGATGGATGGATAGATAGATAGGAGAGAGAGAGAGAAAGAGAGAGACAAACAGACAGACACAGACATGATAGATAGATAGATAGATAGATAGATAGATAGATAGATAGATAGGCAGTATATTAGTATGAATAATTAAATTTCCAGGAAATTATTGATGATAAATTCAATCTGGTGATGTTCATTTTGGAAACAGTAAAATCAGAGCAACTTTATATCTGAGTATACAGTAAATGATCAGAGGAAAGATATTTTAAAATATTTCTGATTTTTAAAATATATCTTCACACATATACAGACATTTCATTAAGTTAAAAAAATATTTAGTCATGAATACTCCCATTATTTTAATGAATACGGGAAATCTGATATATCAGAATTATGAATTCATCTACATGAATGAGATTGAATAGAACTATTTATTCTCAATGCATTGCTGAATTGACTTTTACATCCAACATATTTTTAAACAATTTCCGTCTTCACAGAACAGGTTTAGTACAATATAGAACCAGCACAAATGAAACCTGTCTTCTCAACAATTAGTTTTAGATACATGAGCATCTTACTCAGTATCATAGAAAAGGTCAGTAGAAGGCTTTTCGTGAAAGTGCTTTGTGTTTGAAAATATATAGATTTGAGAAAAAATCCCAGCAACAATGACATCTCCTGATTGATAGTGTTT